GATTTTTGACACTCACATACACACTCTTGGTTTCACTGTATGCTTGTTTGCTTTACGCCTGCGGATTTTATTAATCTTTAACAATGAAATATCTCTACAACTGGTGTTCAGGCTTCTGAATAATCTCGAGTAAATCCATAACTCTACTAGGATATTTAGCCAGCGTTAAATACTCAGTTAACGGGATGTCATTTATTGGAGTCAGATATAGGGGAAATTTGCCTCTACAAGTGTGTCTTTTTCAAGAGAACCATATTAAGTGCGACATTAATTTGACGCTTACTGGTTCTGATAATCGTTGCCACATAGTCATGAAGTTTCCAGGCTAACTGCAACAACCTTTATATTATAACCCGTCATATTCTTAACTCTAGTTTCGAAAATCGTGTCTCAATTTTTAAAACCTCTTTGGTCGTTTATTTATTATATTCCTCGTAAGCTTACATGAAGTTGTAGGGACCTAAAATTATTTAGGATATTCTAAGTTCCCTGTTGTCGGCCATGCTGAGTAGCACCCATAGGGTTGGTGAGTTTGCAGTGGTATCGGTCCCTAATTACACGGTCTTCGAGACTGTGTAACAGCATAGGTTAGTTGGTTAAGAGTTGACCTCAAACAACCAAGCATATGCCAAAACAGTACAGGTCAAGTATTCATTCACTTCCTTATTTTGCATAGGCGTTATATTTTTAATTATCTTATACTGAATGTTGAGAGGCTTTGTTTGTCTGAACAAATAATCCCACGCTCCATTGTGGCTGCGCGAAGATCGAAATAAGGACCTATTCACTACTTGTCTGGTTTCTTCTATCAATAGCACGAGGGTTACCATAAGGCACGAAAACTGAACATATGCTCACTGAGAAGATTCACTTTCAACATGTAACACTGAGAGGAGGTCAACCGTGGTGAACGCGGAAACACTTAATTAAATCAATCAGATGGCATGGTTGCAGGCGTGGCTATCATTGCGTACTTTATCTCTTATTCATATTAAATAGATATTATTCTATCTTCGGCCTAAATGTGTTCTTTGGAAATATCAAACCTTATACTGCTGATTCTTACGATACAACGAGTCAGTGTAGAAAACGATATGATCATGGTCACGGACGCTAATTAAAGGGACGGTGATATTTTTCCTCGTTGAGTAAATTCTATTGTTTTGATCGTCATTACGCATCAAGACTACTGTTTTCACTTTAATTGAATTTATTTCAGTTAAAGTATTCGATTACAGTATCGTTTCTGCTTCCAAATTAGTTTGTCGTCGGTGTTTCAAAAAGGTCAGTGATTTTGTACTTGTTGTGATTATCCTTGCTTTTGTGTAATTATTGCTCAAAAGCATTCTTGGTCTAAATCAAAGTACTTTAGTTAAGGTTTGAAATCTTGCTAAAGTTTGTCTTGTAGTACCCTTTTACTAGTTGACTGACACTGTGTTCATACTGTGATCATATTGTGTTTTACATTTTAATCTGACTAAAATGGTTGTTAGTACTTACAAATGTGAACAACCAAACCGTTTGTTCTCTGTGGAGGAAAGAATGCAGTGTAGCAGTGACAGAAACTTGGTTAGTACATGACTTAGACATTACAGCAGAATTATTCGGATACCATTATCTCAGTAGTGATAGACATAGATGTAGAAAAGGAGGTGGCGTCCTGTTATATATAGCCAATAATATAAATATCCGCTCCTCTGCTAGCGAATTCCATGATAGCGGTACTTGTGAAATCATTAGCTGTAAATTGGCTATCGGGTGTAGTACATTTATGCTCGATGTCATCTATCGCAGCCCGATCTGCTTAGCTGATGACTTTATTTAAGAGCACATTCATCTTTGGAGTGCAAATACCAGATGCTTGATTATAGGAGACTTTTAGCACCTGATAATAGTTGGACTGAGATGACCACTGAAGGATCTATAAACTCCTTTGATAGTAGGTTCCTGGTAACAATAATGGAGCATACACTAGTGCAGCATGTATCCGAACCCACACGTTTTGGTGCTAACCAAGGTTCCTCCCTGTTGGACTCGGTAATCACTCATGACACTGAGGATATTGTCGACCTAAATATTCTTCCGCCGTTAGTGAACAGCGATCACGTTGTTTTGTCATTCATGTTTAGAACTAGGGACATGTTATACGATCAGACTACACCCCGCCCAAATGTATGGAAAGCTAACATATCAGCGATTCAGGAATGCGCTGCTAAGACAGATTGGTTTGTAGATACTAGCTTATCAGTTGAAGAAGCATGGTTTGTATTTAAAGGTAAATCTAGACTAGTTACGTCCCCGTTCATACCATACCTGGTACCGCGAAGACCGAATAACAGTCCACCATGGATAACTAAAACGGTCAGGAAACTTCTTAGAAAAAGGAAGAAGCGCAGGAATATGTTCATCTCTACTGGCTTAGATCAATACAGATCCAGTTATTGTAAGATTAGGAATGCCTGTAAGGCGTTAATAAGTAAGACTAGACGATCATATGAAAAACAATTGGTTAGGGATTCTAGATATAGTCCGAAACGGTTATTCTCGTATATAAAAAGGCGAACTCAGAGAATCGATGGAATTCCATCACTTTTGATACAAGAAAATCCGTTAATCTTGGCAGAAAATGATACCGAAAAATCTGAAGCAGTTTCGGAATATTTCAGTAAAGTGTTTTCTATCAGCAATGAGGAACGACCAACGATTCATCGTGACCGTGACGGCTCGCTGATGGATCCTGTAATCATTGAGAAAGGCACTGTTTTGAGACTACTTCAGCATCTCAAGCGTGACAAGTCCAGTTGTTCTGATGATATTCATCCTAGGATTATGAAAGCCATATCAGATGAAATTGCTGAACCATTAGCGATACTAATCGACATGTCTCTGAGACAGTCCAGACGGCCCAGAGACTGGAAAGACGCTATAATAAGTCCGGTGTATAAGGCTGGGAGTAGAGATTTAGTTAGTAACTATAAGCCCGTTAGCTTAACTAGTGCAGTTGTAAAACTGATGGAAAAAATCATTCGAATATCTGTTATAAACTATGTTGAAGGACAATCTTTTCTCCAGGGAACAACATGGTTTTCGGAAAAGGCCTATCTTGCTTGACAAATCTTCTCATTGCAAGAGAAGATTGGGTTGCTGCAAAAGATCGGAATGTTCCTGTGGATGTGATTTTCATAGATCTAAATAAGGCCTTCAATAAGGTCCTCTTCTCTTTTTACTTTATGTAAGTGGATTGCCAACTGTAGCGAGATCATCCTTTCTACACTTCGCTGATGACATAAAAATTTGGAGACCCATAAACAGTATGTGAGATAGAATAGTATTACAGGACGATCTTAGCTCATTAGTGGCATGGTTGGACATGTGGTCACTAGAAGTAAATCCTAACAAGAGTGTAGTGATGCAAATAAATGACCGTGATGAATCGTATCACTACACAATATGTGGATTCGTGCCACCCAAAGTTAGAAACTATAAAGATTTAGGAGTCATATTGAGCAATGATCTCAAAACCACTAGTCACTGTGGGACTGCTGCTGCGAAAGGCTATAGAGTATTATGGTCTATTCGTAGGCCTTTCCAGTATCTAGATGATGAAATGTTTAGACTATTATACTCTATTTATGTGACACCAAATTTAGAATATGCGATTCAAGCAGCGAGTCCTTGTTTCAAGTATGAAGCAGAGATGCTGGAAAGAGTCGAACGACGAGGTACTAAGATGGTAAAAAGTCTATCTGACCTATCTTATGAAGACAGACTGAGACACCTCAACTTATTCCCATTATCTTACCGTAGAGTACTGGGTGATCTAATATCGGCTTATCGTATACTGAACGATGACTTTGGTATTAATGTCTTATCTTTTCATTCCGTCCACGACTGATCACTTGAGAGGACATTCGAGGAAAGTTCAGAAACCGAGATCAGATCGTATACGTCTGGAGTTTCGTTTCGCGCACCAAGTAGTGAATTACTGGAATTCTCTATCAGAACACACGATGTCAACATCTTCTGTTGATATGTTCAAAACGAGATTGGACCTCCCCAGTATTACACACTGCAAGGATTAATGTAGGTCGATAGACCTCCCATCCTTGTTACTGAAGACTGGTAAATCTGCAATTTTAGGAATAGTAGCATTGATAACAAAGTAGACCATAATTATACAAGTTATCAGTTTACGAACCGATGAGTGATAGGTTATTTTATTCAGTGTTGATGCGGCTGAGGTTTGCAGATGATTCTTCATAGTTAGTCAACGATCCTCGGCAAGAAGAAGGGGTAGTTTATTGAGGGAATATGGATGATTAATTGGGCCGTGGTTCAGGGTATAGCCAAGGCCCAACGTTTGCAAAAACATCAGTAATTGTGTGGATAAAAAACAAAGATGCTACAAGTATTCTGAGATTAAAAACACTTTAACTAGTAACATATTTAATACAGAAACATGTCAAATCAGAAGTCAGAAGCGAAGATGCTCGAAGTTATATTTGGTAGAATACCGATGTTTCGAGAAGTGATTAATCTAGGCTGACCAGCAGCTGTGGGAAATGTGTAGCGCGGCGTACTCGTAATCTAACTAGGATGGGTGACCAAGTGCCTTCAGATGGGTGAGTTCTGTAAAACTAATGTGGTCAGCATCAAATGTCGAAGACTTGCAGAGCTATATATTTTGGCGATTTATTTATCGCTACAAAGAGAAAACTTTGGAAACACGATTATCTAATAGTTATGGAGGGGAAACATGTAATATATGAAAAATGAAAACGAACAAATTACTGTGTTAAATCCGCAACATGGCAAATATGAAAATAGAAAGGGTATTTGTTGGTTGAATATTTGCTGTTTGTGACATAGCCAGGGAACGTATTTCTCGTCTATCTGTTGACTCTATCTAGGTTCCTTACTGTTAGTGACGGTAATCATTGATACTAGAAGCATGTCAAGCAAAAAATTTTATACTCTGTCTACAATCATTTGACTCGTTTGTATTCAACCCGGGCTATACAGATGTGACGCTACAGCGTGGCTCTAGGTATGTACCTACAAAATGTTGACTGAAACATTTAAATTTTTGTCTTTTTACGGCTCGTTATCAGCGTTATAGGGCGTGTTACTCATTAAAATATCGTTTTGTCCTCGGTTTTGTGTCTTCCAGTTTGTAGTCAGCCAAGCTCATGAGCTTTATGGCCAAATCTCCCTATCTGGGGGAATTTTTTTGTAAATTTTAACGTTTTACCCAAAGTTGTAAAACGTTTGGTAGTTTTCTCAAAGTTTGGGGAAATGTCCGGGAAAAAACTAAAGTGTTATAAGATTCTGAGAAAATCTTCGGGAAAACGCATCAGTCAGTCAGTAACAACGTAGAAATTCGTACGTACATACATCAGTTTGAGTTACCATACCACATTAGCACAGAGATGCGGGAGAAACTCATAATTCTCCCGAACATTCTGAGGGTTTCCTCAAAACTTTGGGGATTTTCTCCAGACCCTAAAATGTCTAGGGGGTTCTGTACCATTTCCCTAAAGTACTTTATTGCAGCTACCTCAAAATCTACTCAAAAGCGACAAAATTTTCTCCAAAACAGAAAGATTGTGTGCGATAAAACCAAGCTGTGGATTCGAAAAAAATCTTAATAATTTTCCACTAAAAGAGCTACTGAGAACAAGAAGCAAGGGGATTTTTCGTCTAATTTTTGGGATTAAGACTGAATTTTATTGTGACAGTGGCACCTTATTTTCGACTTACTTTTAGAAAAGCCAATTTCTCCCAGATCCCCCGAAGGTTATTACTGTTATGGAGTTTTCTAAAATATCAAAGGTTGATCTTTCTCATTAGAGCGATTGTATCAGCATGGTCTCCGAAAGCCTTGTAGATCGATCTAAACACCTCACATCAGATCACACCTAGATACGCTGCGCTTTTCATCGCTTTTTTCACCGCGTTCCATCGTTCTCCAGGCCTCTCGAGATGATGTTCGGGGCGCACGTCAATTTGTAGATGCCACCTGAATCCATCAGCGTTCCATAGACTCGATGTAAGTCGTTAGTGGACGCCGTTATTATATTTACAGCTTTTTAAACATCATCCTAAGCTATTTCAGGACAAACCGTTTCTTCACGACCGACTAGGTACTTAGCTGATTCTTCCCTTAGTCGATGCCTAGCCTTTCAATCGAATTGGTATCTGAAAGTTTTCTTGCCAGTAAAACGCTTAATAATGCATACACTAAGCAGGGTATGACCAAACTCCAAGCATGTACTTTAGAAGGAGCGGCAGTCTGCGGTCGAGCCTCCTCAACGATTCGTGATGGTGATATGATCTATTTGTAACCATCAGTGTTGATTTGCGTCAATAGGTCAGTGTTTTTCATTTTGTCTAAAGTTCACACTTCCCAGGATAGCCAGTTATCTGAGCATAATTGCACTAGATAACCTCCGTTATCCGCTCTTTTTGTTGAAACACCACATGCCCCATACAAGTACGTTTCAATTTAGCTTAGTCTACCAACTTGAGTACGATGATCGCCCGTTACAACTACTACGTCTAAGCAGATGGGTTTTGAAAGTACGTTATATAACTAGTCTTTTACTCACTCCAAGATGCAGTCAATGGGGACATAGGCAGAAACGGTGGAAGGGCGATGGGTGTGTCTGTATCTTCCCAAGTTCTTGTGATTCCATTGGGATGGACAGCATATGGGTAACTGTCGACAGGAATCCGATCAGAAAGTCTGTGTTCAGCCTTCAAATTTAGTACTACATATGCATCAACAAAACTATGAGAACTCTTCGTTTCGTCTTAGGATACCTGCAGGGTATACATTGTTGGCTCTCCATATAGGTTCTATGAGTCAGTGATAACGCTATTATCCTGTATACATGTTTCGGAGACATACTACACATCAAAGCCATAGAATTTTAGTGTCTTAGCTAATGACTCCAATTCGATATACGGTTTGTACATTGATGTCCTGGTATGACCGGGAGCGGGTTGGGTTCGCCCTCCCTTTCGAAATACTCTCACACGGCCACGCGTATACAGCCTCTGTTAGGGAAGTCCTACTCACTGCCTTCTCGTGGCGGGGGTGTTGTTTACGAAAATGAGAGGACGAAAAGCGAATGTCCGGCGCTTTAACCGGATTCCAAACTAAATCAATGGTGCACATGGGCTCCAGTATCCTGAAGGAACAAATGGCGTATGAACCAATTTTCGGCCACCGGCTACCATGGGACCACATCTCTTTACGATGCTCCACTGTCTTGTGGGTTAGACCTTTAGGTCAAAGGCTCGGGGTGTGGCCCCCTAAGATAACCACCTGCTTCGGCCATACCAGGGCATTTGGGGGCTTTGTTGGTCACAGGACAGATAACGGGGATCGTCTACTGCAACTGTGCACAGACCACAACCTGTTTCTGGCTAGCACTAACTTCCGACACAGTCATCGCCGATGTGCCACCTGGCGTCCTCCCTCTTCACCTCAAGCCTGGACTCAGATTGATCACATCGTGATCAGCTACCGCTGGTGTGGTTGTGTACAAGGCAGTCTTGTACACAATGTTGAAGTCGAGCTTAATTTAGCGGGGTGTCGGTTGAAGAGGCGATGAATCCTTACTGATTAAGGTGTTAAGGACGTGTTCGTTTATGCCTAATCACAGCTTACCTCAACAAGCTATGTTTGGTGAAATGGGAGTAAGTTGGAATAAAGCTAGGAGACAGCCAGACCAAGACGTAGCATCAGTTCAAGAAGTCATTAACATTGGTCTGAACCATGATGGTAGATGCACACTAGATGGTTAAAGTCCGCGCTATAGCGGCAATCAGTAACTGGAAACTATAGTGATGTCTTGAAACCGTTGATAGTGGTGCAGATGCATTTACTCTGTATCTTCCGTCCCATCTTGAATTACAGTATTCTTTCATACATACTTTGTCCATGTGTAGTCTTTTTTAATATCATCAGTACTACAACTCCGACTCCTTTACTATTTCTTTTAATTTCATCTCGTTACGTGGATTTAGTATGATTAATTGGTTCGATGTACATTTATGTCAGGCTCTACTATGATGATGACTAACTGAAATTATCTGGTGTTATAGTTTTATTTTGTAAACACAGATCAATTGCTTTTACTTTTTGCAATCATTATATCTAAGACAAACTAGTCTTCAACTTTTAAGGTTTAACTTCTTGTAAATTACCACTATCCTTTTACATAAGATTACTGAGTAGGGGAATTATCTTATCTAGAATGTTTAGCATGGACGTAAGATTTATGCAATGTATGGTGTAATATGTATTTGAAAATTTATATCGACTTTTAGACGATGGACAGTTACTCATTTGTCCGACCTGGAAAATTAAAATTAAAAGGTGAGAAGAAGAAAAAGCACCACAAAAGACATCACGAATCGAAACCAAAGGTTGAGAAAACAGAACGTATTTTGGAAGCTGATGCTCATGGTGGCTGGTGGTCTGTGAAAGAATTCGATGAAGTGAAGGATTCAATAGCAATACAAGTTTATGTTGCAACTGATAAACCGTTGATGGCTGATGGATTTGAAGCAGCTACACACTCTGGACAGGATGCTAATGACAAGGAGTTTACAGGTGCTTGTTACTTATCAGCTACCGATGAAGGTTTGGTTGTTATCGGACCACCAAGGAAGTACGGAGAACCACCAGCTCCAGAAGAGATTTTCACCGCTATGCAAGTTTCGGATACTAAAGTTGCATTTAAATCTGGGTTAGTTAGTGTGAGTAGTAGTTTTCTGTTCTATAATTCAAATAAAATAAGTTTTACAATGTAATTTACCTTAATTTGTGGTTGTAGAGTCTCTGACCAACTCCCCTCAAAGGAATTAGCTCTTATTGTGAATGTTTGGATAATAAAGTTTATTCTGCTGGAATATTTTTTTGTTTTCAATTTAGAAATACGCGCCGTATTGGTTCGTATTACCCACTACCGATTACGACGGCACGCAGTGCTAACTAGTGTTGTAGACGGATGGAAGAAAGTTAGGGGCAGCCAAACTATAAATGTGGTAACTGTCCACAAAGTCACTAACTTCTAGTCTGAGCCATGTTGGTAGATGCAGACCACTTGGTTGGAGTCCGTGCGACAATCGTAACCAATGGTTGAAGACTGAGTGACCATGACTCACAATTGATCAAAATGGCGTAAATATGTACACTCTTTGTTTTCCCTTAAACTATTAGATTAAAATTACTTTATACCTTTCTTCCTATGAACTAATTCTTTATCCCTGTATCATATCTTTATATGCAATCTTTCTTTATGTATAACTAACGTTGAAGTAACTGCTTCTGTGAATTTGATGTTCATGTTTTTGTGCTAATGAGGTATGGAAAGTTGGACCGATTCATATATGTGCCTGGTCGTACGTTGTAGGTGACTGATTGACTGACTTGTATTGATGCTAGATAATTTAAAGGAGTCTGGTCAAAGCCCAAACAATTAGGGTGTTATCGTCATTAAGTTTTATTTTGAGCGTACTTCATGATTGATGTTTCATTTTTAATTTTAAATGAAAGTCGTTAGTTTCAACGTCTGTTCCAAGGAGAGAAAATTTTGCCTATATACTCTTTCCATCACGGTTTGCACTGGAGTGACATTTAACCTGATGGTCGTTCGAATACGAATTTATCATTGATTTTAAAGAGATTTATGTAATACAAATTGTATAAATAAATACAAGTGTGTTAATATGGAGTTTTTATAATAGCAGTGTAATGAAATGGGATTTTATGAATGAATTTCCAGCTGTTAAGATGAAAGAAAAGGGCACTGATCGATAGATGCTGTGGAATGATACAATGTGGGCAGATAATAACCGCCTCTTCTTCACAGTTAACTAATATCATATGATAAGACAGCTGCTCATTGGAATATATTCTTATAACGAAATAAAATCCTAAACAGAAAAGTGAACATGTATAAATGTGAATTAACAAATAATTTAGAGAGCCATAGGTCGTTTACTTTCCAATAGGATTAGTGATTAACTACTATCAGGCTTGATTCTTACCGTATCATGTCACCCGTCCAGTAAAATAATGTGGAACCATTGTCAAACAATATCTACAATCATTGTTCGTTTTTTAAACTGCTATCTTTTTCCTATAAACACAATAATCTCGGTTTTGTTTTCTGTTTGAAATACAGGTACGGTAGATATCTTGGTGTTTCTACCAAATCCGACGCTATTTTGGCAGCCACAGCAGATGCTGTTGGAGTTTTTGAACAATTCGAACCAATTTTTCAAGATGGTCGTAGTGCTATGTTAGGAGCAAACAATTGTTTCCTTTCAGCTGATCCGATTACGGATGATATTATATTCAAAAGTCAACAAGCCAAAACCAATGAAATGGTTATTGTATGTACTTGTTGTCAGTTTTTTCAGTTTAATTCGATTGCAAACTATCTGTTCAGTGTTCAAGATTAATGTATAGTTTTCAATTATTTGTGTTGAGTTACATAAGACTAAAATTTGCTAGATAGAACAAATTGTAAAGGAGAAGTGGTATTTCCAATAACTGTTATCATATAACATAAGGATATATACATTTTTAGTGATGAATTTTGTAAATATTTTGGTATAAAGTTGGCCTCTAAATTAATGCTGCACAATTCCTCTCAACATACTAAAATACAAACATCATCCAAAACGTTTTCACTTTCCTACACAGCCAATACCAATAGTAAGAACTTTCATGGATTTCTAGTTTGTTTTAGCTTGACTGTTGTAAGCATTATTTTGTTGTACTTCGTCTAGATGGTGGCTGCTATTGAAACCCAAAATATCATTTATCCAATGGTAGTACGACATTCAAGGGGTCTTTCGAAAGTGCATACATCTTTTTCTTGTCTTAATAGCGGTGTACAATATTTCCTCTAATATGTAGTTATAGTTCATTTCAACTGTAAGCAATCTTCAACTCATAGAAACTGATGTTATGCAAATATTTTGAGTTGTTACTTAATTGGTGATGATTTTGTGTGTGATTGATGTTTTCTATACTTTATTCAAACGGCTTATCTCTGTTTATCACTTTTTTCTCATAGTTTCGTTCTAATAAACCTCTTATCCATGATCCTTTATTGGATATACCAGAAGAAGAACGTGAAGGCTTGAAAAAAGCTGAAGTTAATTATGTGTAAGTTGTTAATTAATTAATTTTTTCTATATTCTGTACGGCTCCTATTTGTATTTCATTGGATGATTCAGTGTTTGAAATACTTGGATTCCGACTGGTGGGTCGCAGGGTCGAACTACTCTGCCGCTAGTTCATTTTGGAAAGTATGGGTAGTATTGTTGGCCGTCACACAAACTGACTGAAAGCCAATTACATAAACCTGTACTTTGTGAGTTACAAATTAACGATATCTACCGTACATTGAACCACAAATGTATGCTTATGTGATCCACAGTGTACTGTACATTTCCAACTTTATTCATATAGAAATTTATAAATCAAGGCTATCAACAATTTAATATATCTTTATTGATTGGAGATCAAAGATGATGTTATTTACCATCGGTCGAATGTATTCAACATTCGGCCTCCCTTAAATCTTGATTTCCATTATCACCCTATACTCTTCATTCCTTTATTTATTGTCTTTCAACTAAATTTTCCAAGTTTCATTTCTCTCATTGATACTATTATTATTTCAATTATTTTAATTTTCATCATTTTGATTTTCCATCTGGTTGTGCCACTGTGATTTGAACAAGAACTAAGTCTAACAGAGTCAGTTTTTAATTCATTGGAGGGTGAGTGACTTGTAAAATCAGCATTGTTCGATTCTTTGTGAAATTTAATCATGCTTATTTTTGTGTTCAATATTTTGGACCCAAGCATATTATCTTTCTGGTTAATGGTATTGTCTTTGGTCTCAGTCTATACAGGGGTTTGCATCAATAGTTCTGTTTTCTTAGCAGTTATTACTCGGCCACATTGTATCACTTCATCTATTAGTACTAAATTGCATTCATTTTAATAATCCAAAACTCGTTCACCATTCATCGTGAGTTCTAATTTATAACAATGTGAAGTATGGTAGCCATTATTTATTTATTTATTTGAACACATAAATATTGGTACAAGAGGGCACCAAATATATACGCGCCACACAAAACAATGAGAATGGGGAGAGAAAAAAGAAGGGGAGTACAAGAAGAAAAGAACAATAACGACCACAGATTAGTGTAAGGTAGTGCAATAATAATAATGGGGGTAACGGAAAGGTACAACCAGAAATCTTTCAGTTAAGGAAGATACAACCACTTTTTATGAAGAAAGTAAAAGAAGGTTACAGCAGGATCGCCAGCGGCTTCTATTCTGAGCCATATCTGATAACGTTTTTAGCCACTGTGTTGCATCATCTCATGGTAGCCATAATAAATGTTCATTTTATGCCTCATTCTACATGGTTTATTTATAAGCGACACTCGTTATCAGTATTCTTTTTGTCAATTTTCATTAGAGTGTGATGATGAGAAGTATCGTAATGGAAATTTTTGTGTGTTTGTTCTACTTTCCTAAGGTTGTCGCAATTTTAAAGTAAAATGATCTGGGTAGTTTCTTATTAAATAAAACAACTGTTTTAATTCACTTTATTTCTAGACGTAAATTCCAAAGTTGGCAAGATCAAAAGCTTCGTTTAAGCAAAGAAGATTTCAGTAATGTAAAGCGCGCTCGTCATTCTGGCAATCTGTATGAATGTCTACTAGATCGGTATGTGTTAATTTGTTCTTGAAAACAAATTATAAAGATTGTTTCTTCGTAACGCTTACTGATTAGACCTATTGAATCTCAGTTGTTCAAACTAAACTATATTCTGTAGTTTTCAGTTGGTCAGTTCATCAGAAACAACATGGTACAATGCAGTGCAAATATACATCGATTGAAGTTGTCGCGCTTTATATTAGCGTAGTAAAAATAGGCTAACGGAACGAAAAAGCATTGAAATAACTGTATCGCTGATAGTGAACATTGAGCGCACAGGACACACTTTAAACTTAATAAATAGAATCAATAAATGCTAAGAATGGGGTGGTTGATATAAAACAAAGATCTTTGAAAAAGATAAAACATGAAAAATACATCAGCACTATAAATAGTATCGGTCTATGTCACTTACCATTTAGAAGATTTTAAACTCATTCACTAGATACTTGGATATGAGCCTTACTCTAATTCCTGTAGTATGTATATGTATGTATCTGTTATGTCTGAGACGTTAATCAATACCACTAGATAGGCTTGCCAGTCAAACTTCCATCTATAATTTTCTACTCGTCTATGTTATTCCCCTTATAGTCTAGTATCATAGGCCTTAACCGATGGTATAGCCCGACCAATACGATTAACGTCGAGTTGATGCTAACATATGCTTCGCTCCTATTGGTCCGTCAATTATTATTATTATTATTCCAAGGAGTCATAGGTTTCCATACTGGACTATATCAGATCATAAAATGAAAAAAGGTACTCATATATAGAGTGGAAATGAGTCAGACAAGCTGCAAATACCCAATTAGTAATAATTTTGAAATAATGACGTGTACTAATATACAAAAATAAATTAAACCTCACCCCACTGCACAAGCTAGTGACTATCAAGACTCAGTAACTAAGTGGATAACGCGATGGCGTTTGAAGCGAACGGTACTGGGTTTGAGTCCCAGAGTGGACACTGTTGTCTTGTGGACTGGAGATTAATGTGCGCAGCGGTACAAGGAGGCACCAAATGCATATGCGCCACACGATTCTCATTCGATAGGTGTGAGGGCTGTGATACTGCCCGGGTGCCCAAACCGAAGCAGGCAAGCATACTCTGTTTATATACCAATCAACCCGACCACAACGTACCAATAAAGTAGAAAATAACGTATGTACAATAATTAGCCAGAAGTGGCTGTGAATGAGGGAGGTAGCGATTAACAGATAGGGAATAATTCATGAATGGTAAATCGTACAATAATAGTTCCCTTGTTTTGCCAGAAAATATGTCTTACGCATCAAATAATAATCAAGAACCTGGTGCAGTTTTGTTGGACGCTGATTATCATAGTGATCCACTATCTACTAGTGGTGTTCCCCATAAATTTGGTCACAATATTTCAGAAGAGTCAAACTTCGATCACCTTATATCAATTGTCGTTCACCCTCACCACTCAGTCACTTTCAATAGATCCTCTGTTCAGTACGACAAATATGTCTTAAATAAATTCAAATTAATTGTAAGTTGGGCACATGAGGATCTAACACTGTTTCGTGGGGGAGGATGAACCCAGAAAATTTAAAATCCTGATCTTCAAAAAGGGGAGGTGTTGTGTCTCGATGAGAATAATGAATGGTAATTTTTGGGATCCATTTATGGACCAATATTATGAGTATATTTTTATCGTATAATTGTTATGTAACTAAACTGTTCATATTCATGCCCCTCTTATTATGAGCTTTATGTTGACCTATGAACTATTACTGTACGATTTACCATTCATGAATTATTCCCTATCTGTTAATCGCTACCTCCCTCATTCACAGCCACTTCTGGCTAATTATTGTACATACGTTATTTTCTACTTTATTGGTACGTTGTGGTCGGGTTGATTGGTATATAAACAGAGTATGCTTGCCTGCTTCGGTTTGGGCACCCGGGCAGTATCACAGCCCTCACACCTATCGAATGAGAATCGTGTGGCGCATATGCATTTGGTGCCTCCTTGTACCAATATCTATGTGTTAAAATAAATAAATAAGAGTATGCTTGAAATATAATGATTCATATCTGAGAGGCTGAGACTTGCATTCTGGACTCAACTGGCTGGGCTAGACAGGGAAGCGGGACCAATCAGGACTCTAGGCTGTTCTTGCTTGTTTTACGCGTCTTCTGTCCACAAGTCACAACAGACAACATCTCTGGGATGCAGGTACATCCAGTTGATGAGTCCTGAGTAGGATAGAACATGCGTCCTGGATCCCACTGCTAGCCACTATGCATCTTTGCTTATAACGTGTACTAATAGTGGGTCAAACGAAAGCTTACAATAAATGGAACATAGGAATATAATAGTCCAGTTGTTTGTTAATTATACAATATGATTCCATTTAATAATAGTCCATAAAGTCTCAAGGGTTATTATTTCTTCATTCTGTTATATCACTATTTACTTGTAAAAGATATACGAAGACCAGTCAGTATATTGCTGTTTTATAGACTAAGTTGATTCTCATTTAGTATTTTAGTCAGCTGATTGTAATTTTAAGAAATTGTTAGATTAACGAACAAATGTGTAAGGAGATTAATTTTATAAACCGGTTATCCTAATGTATTCTGTGCTCAGTGTTTATCTTTTTAGTTATTGTGTAATTGGGTCAAAGTAAAGCTGGGTCGTACAAACAATGCGTTTTTCATTATCCGGTCATTTCAGCGTAAATTATAATCACATGATAATAGTCTGATCCTTAAAAAATGTTTACTGAATGTTATCAACTGCAAATTCTTACATAGCGAATCTATTTTGATATTTAAAATACAGCGCTCCAATAGTCACAGATTGATATCTACGTTTGAACAGTAATGTACTCTTAATTGTGGTATTCTGAGTGATAGATATTTCACTGATATGTTAATAGTCATTTTTATCAACCTCGGAAAAGTGTAATATGTTCCCTAATTGTTTGTTGTAAGCTCTTCAGTATTTATAACACAATATACGCACAACTATTGTCAGATAATAACAGGTTGGAATTACAAGGTTTATTCTAAATTCCAATGACGCAAGTAAACCGGAAAATGAGGTTTTCGCAAATTAATGGTTTTTAAATGTCATCATTCATTTTCAGTTCACACAAGACCTGCTCTCCTAATGCTATTAAATTTCTCACTTGGTATCCTCTATACTAGAAGGAAATATATATCACATTTACATCACCAAAATATTGTTTTCAATATAGCTATAATAGTGTTTTTTATCTAAACACATAAACATTGGTACAAAGAGGCACCAGTGTGGACTGTGATACTTCTCGAGTGCCCAAACCGAAGCAGGTGATTTTCTTAGGAGGTCACACCCGGAACCTTCGACCTAAAGGTCTGACCCACAAAGCAATGGAGCAACGTCAGGGGATGTGGTCCCATGGTAGCCGGTGACCAACAATAGGTTCATACGTCATTTGTTCCTTCAGGATACTGGAGTCTATGTGCACAGTTGATTTGAAATTAGGGTTTTCCAACTCCTCTAGGTAGACTCTTCGAGTTCCACCGACCCGGTTAAAACATCGTACATTCGCTTTTCGTCCTCTCAATCTCGTAAACAACACCACTGTTGCGAGAAGGTAGTGAGTCGGATTTCCCTGGTACTGGTTGTATGCACGTGGCGATGTGACAGCATATAGAGAAGGAGAGCTAACTCTCCCTACTCTCGATTGTACCACTTGTTTGAAGCACATATATTATCAATAAACAAAGTTCATAGTTTACTTTAATATGTATCTAAATATAACTTAAAAATCAATATTTGTATTTTTCTTTTATCTTTGTAGACGTGAAAAAATGAAATCAGATCGATACTGTAAATAATGATAATTCATCATGTAAATTTTAATTGTCTTTTTTACGGAACATGTATTATTCATTCATCGGTTGTTGAAATCGTCAAGACAGGTTTTATTCTTTACCATCGGAAGATAATTTATCTTAATGTTTCTTTCTTTCTTTGTTAATAAATTTTTTCAAAATTTTTAGTTTTTTTTTTTCTAATAAAATTCTGATAGATATAAATTGTCTTTTTTTTCTTAAGGTGGAAACAATTCGGTCATTTAGGATTGTATTGGTACAATAAGCTGAACAAATATGCTTTTATAATTTAAATTTTAGCTAAACCATAACTAAAAAATCTGGAAACAGTAAGTGGCCGTTTCATCCTAGTGTGGAACTTTTCAGAAGTGTACACCCATGACCCTGTGTTCGGGAATCGAACCCAGCACTAAATATGAGTTTTGATACTACTATCCAGTGGAAAACCTGTTATAACTTGTGGTCTTGTGCCGTATTAGTATATAACATTAGTGATACGGCCAAGTAGAGAACAGTGAATTATCGACCGAACCAATGACGCATAAAACTCGTACGAGCAGTCTGAAGTCTTTATCGGTCCTACTTCTTGCCTGTTAAGTTCAGAACACCAATCTCAGCCTCTACGATATGAATCATGTATTTCAAATATATTGGGTTTATATAAAAGCCAAGCAAATCACATCACACTGTAAAATAGAAAACAACATTTGTACAAAATCTAGCCAAAAGTGACTGTGAACGTTGTAGATTGTAATTAATAGACTGGGCAGAACTCATGAACGGTAAATCGTATAATAATAGTCTATGGGTCAAAATAAAGCTTATAATAAGAGGAGTATAAATATACACAATCTGGCTACTGAATAGTTATACATTAAGAATACCTATAATATTTGTCTATAAATAGTTCTCAGGAGTTACCATTCATAATTCTCGCCGGATATAACAAAATCATTCTAATCACGGTATCAAGTCTGAAATATATTCTTAATTGAAAAAAGTGTCTTAACTGACATATATGTTTATATTTAACTAAAATTTAATGAGTTGGTTCGCGACTACAATGACATCAGTTTACTATTCACAATAGACAATACATACATCATAATCTCATTATGAATTAGTCATTTCAAAATAATCTCTCGAAATCAATGTAGTTATATTGTTACAGTGACTTAAAAAACTTGTCCATATTTTATGTACTGCATGGAACTTACATTTTGATGATTTTATCCAATGTATGTTATTGAAAATGTATTAATCTGATATTGATGGGAGGGTCAAACCAAGTCAGTCAGTCATCTACAACGTAGAACCAGGCACATATATGCATTGATCCAAGTTACCATACCTCATTAGCAACAACATGATGAGCAAATTCATAGAAGCAGTTAATTAAATGGTAGTAATATATAAAATGAGATTGCATCAGTCCATGAAGTCATTAACTGGAGTGAGCCATGTTAATAGGTGTAGACAACTGATTGGGGTCTGCGTGATTATCGGAACCAATGATTAGAGACTTTGAATGACACTTGTGCAGGTGCCTCCATTCTTAAACTTCTTTCAAATTCCGCGTAACTTGAATCGCACCCTCGATGATTAATCTTTTCAATCACCACTCATACTGTAACTACCTCTACTTTTATGGGATTTGGCCCAACAGTTTCTTCATATGCTAGTGGGGTATATATATATATATATATATATATATATATATATATATATATGTATATATATATATATATATATATATATAATCGTTAGGATTACTTCCAATACTTATTAATTTAGATAGCGGAAGTTGGCATTTAATAAAAATTTAAACGGATACAGTTAAAGATAAATTCATTAGATGCGAACTTTAGTTCGTACATGTATATAAATTATTTAACTGAAAGATTGTGGAGGTTATTTTAAATGTGAAGGTGACTTTTGTCATTGATTGAGGTCAGCATTAGGGAACCGATGGCGACCAAGATGCTCTAGACATCGGTTTTGCCATAGCTTGAGATTTATCAGATGAGTGGACTCAACTCTCCATTGACCAGATTACGTACTTTGTGGTCTCACAACAAACCCATTATATTCAATACATAGTGCCCGCAGTGTCGAGTCACCTAGACTGGTGGCCACATTGCAACATGATCGATAGCATTCGATCTGCACTAATAAGGACTAGACAAGCATGAGATTGATCACCACCCAGTGATCAATCAATTGTGAAACCCATTATATGATCTCACACATTGGACTTTATATATATCAGATTGGTGTATCGATGCATTCCAACAGTGTCCTGTGCACGACATCTGAAAGTCGTGGATCCGATCACATGTAAGATATTGGGTGTACATTTCTGAGATTGATGTACATCCATCTTAACTCAGGTGGCTAAGTCCAAGAAGATAGCCTTATTTTTCAGCAAAGACAAATGATATGCTGAGTAGAATTGTACATCAAGGGCCTGTGCCTACGTTTTTTCCTAATGCCATACAGCAACTGAGAGACGACGAACAAAGCATGCTATTGTCAAGGTCTTGGCTTATATATCGAAGGAAAATTTATGTCAATGGCTAATAACTTTTTATTCATCCTTTGTCTTCTCACTTGCATACCAGGTTGGGGAAACTTTTTCTGATCAAACTACCGCAAGATGTAACACTAGTTGCCAACTGGATTCGTTAGCTAATTTACAGTGCTTGGTAAAAAAACACCTACAAATTTAATTATCACTGAGATTGGGAAAGGTTGAAGCATTAGTTCTGGATAGTGTTATGTGAAAGTAATAAATTATTTCATTAAAGAATTGAATTTTTTAATTTCATAAACTTAGGTATAACAGTTAAAGATCAGTTTTTCTGGGAACGTGATATTCTGACCCCGTGTATTTCGGACATTCTAATTTTGTTTATTTCCTCAATGAAATATAGTTTAATATTTCAACTAAGGGTTTATTATTATAATTAAAGATAAATAATACTAAGGGATTAATGGGAATCTTTTTCTACACTAATCGTGGTATTTGGAACAGAAATTTGAAGCAGCAAGAAGGGTAAAACAGGATAATTTTAAAAAATATTTGGATAAAAAATTCCAAATATGCAAACATTTTCGTGAAGTCGTGTCCTCTTAGCTGGATGGTTCAGTCATGCAGCTCTCATTGTCTTTCTGAACAACATCATGAGCACAAACTTAGGATAAAAGTAACACTGCAGGCAACATCTAATCAAATTCAAAGTTTCCAGAACAAGCTGCTAGTCAAGTGAAGAAATACATAGAGCTCACTTATATGTGAAGTTTATGCTAATAACATATGGAAAAACAATTAAATCATCCAGCTGAGGGATCGCAACTTTACCTGAGCTATAGATCTTCCCCACCATTTCACTTTGTTTTCATTTCCGTAGCTTTCACTTCCATAAACAAGGAATATTTGGAGATTTCTACTGTGATCTAGCTAGTAAACAATGAATATTTCTGACTACGGAATAAATTACTTAGGGTGACAATCATTATTACACTACACTATCACTTACATTTCCAATATCCTAGATAATAAAGGAGAAATTAACTTCATTAAAAAGATTTCAAAATTTGTGTTTGTTCACCGTTAAAATGAACGACATCTGTAGAACAGAGGATTTTAACGAGAACTAAAGGAATAAGTGGATCATTAGACCGTTAAAACCATTTCGAATTTGTTTTCTCATCAATCACTTTTAAATTGAGTTATATGAGAGTTCAAACTAACTAGAATTCACAATTTCTAAAATATAATGTATTTTTAGTCTGGAACTTACTTGAAAATGTTATTTCTATTGTTCACACTTTCCGTGGTTAAAAAAACTAATTCAACAGAACCAACTGAAATTAAGAAATTTTCCGGCGAGACTCTAATTTATGGACAACCTTTGAAGGAATCTCAAGTGACCTTGAGAAATATTAGTCAATCAGCAAACAGTCAGTATAGAGTAAAAATATGTTATACAAAACCAAAGAAATAAAGTGGATACACTTCTTATACGTGGTTCAAACATTTGTTAAGGTTAGAAAGAGGTTCTAAAATCGTAATACATGCAGTAGAGGAAATCATCCGTACGGCTACAGAATAGTCGGCCTCTGAGGCCATGGTAAATTCTTAAAACCTCTTTCAGCCTAGACCACATAGCTTCAATATTTTTTATGTACACTCCGGTCGTTGAGTGCACAAAATGCTACTCTTGGATAACGACACGATGCACATGACCAAGCCTATGTAGGAGTCTGTACGCTCTCCAAACATCCGTATATATTGTAGTATTTGGCTGCAGCCGGTGTTACTGGTGCTTTCATTATCTAGTTCGCAATAATTTTCGTAATTTACCTTAGTTAGGAATTGTATATGGGGTTTTCATCACTAACTGACATCAGCTATAATGCCAGAAATTCATTTAGCCAAAGGGATGAATAACTTTCGCATTAAAATCCGAGATCTATTATCTTATACCTGATTGATTCGTCCACAAATTATAGTCTTGTCGTTTTATTTGTTATAGCCACTCAATTATCACTTTTTGTACGAAATTCCCTGTGAACCGATCGTACGTTAACAGTAAGCACTGGAATTGGCGCCGTAACCCTGAAATCTCTATAAAGCTTCTGATTGGCTCGTCCATAAATTAGAGCCTCGCCAATTTTCCAATCGCCATTAAGAAGTGTTGAACTGCATAAAATGTTTGCCATCTCAAGAATTTATTCTGAAGGCCATGCATAGATATTTTGTGGATAACCACAAAATTTCCATTGTATTATCTTTCGAAACAAAGACAAGTGTTATTAAGTTCTTCAACCGCTTTAACTTAGACAACCATTGAAAACCTAGATTCACTGGATAGTTGTTTCGTTCTATCATAGGACATCTCAGTAGTACGTATCCATAATTCCATTGTAGTGTCGGTTATTATGTTAAGCCCATATGCCTTATTCTAGTTTGCAGACAGCCCATTCTATTCATTCTACTTGAGTCACATTCTGACCTTGTTATTCATTTGCTTATCAATCTTGACTGTTTTTATATGAGCACGTAGGTGTTTGTACATTTCTTATCCCATTACTCATCACATATCTGTAACTTACTTTTGTGTAACTATAAACATTGATTAACGCTTGATTAAATGGGAGTTGGCTTACCCGCCATCTCCATTCTGCATCGTTTCTCC